GTGCCCATGAGCCTTGAGTACCTTCTAGCCATCCTCTCGAAAGCCTGAGCATTGCACCCTTCAGTGCCATGAGACACTGGTACTCACGTCAGGCCTCCCAGCTGGCATCAGGCCGCTGCTGACTTGGGGCGAGGGAAGGTGGGGGTTAGTCTCTCTCTCTCTCACTTTTGGATGAAAATCCCAGGATCCTCGTCCACCCCACTCTGGCTGCTGACTCTGTGCTTCAGTGTCCTGCACCTGGCTGCGCGGTACAAGCTGTTTGGGGCCAGGGTTTTATGGTCAATATAGTTCACCTGTTGTACAGCACAGGTAGGGCTGTGAGCTGTGTGCACGGCAGAGCGGCTGCAGGGCGGGAGCGGCCGCTCTGTTAAGCATTGCTGCTCCTTCAGGTAACATAAGAGCAGTAAACGCCTGGCTCCTAAACCCAGCACGCAGCAAGCTCAGCTTGGTGCTTCCGATATGCCGTCAGGCGATGAAATGGGGAGGATTCCATTCAGTTTAATTCAATTGAGTGTATTGGCCTGACAAGCTACCAGAGCAGGGTTGCTAAAATGAAAGAAAGAGGCAGGCCCGTGAGGTCTGGGGGCTGGTCCCCCCGACCCGTCCAGGCGAGAGCTGCAGCTTGTCTGGGGGTTGGTCCCCCCCGGCCCGTCCCAGCGAGGGCTGCAGCCTGTCTGGGGGTTGGTCCCCCCCGGCCCGTCCAGGCGAGGGCTGCAGCTTGTCTGGGGGTTGGTCCCCCCAGCCCGTCCAGGCGAGGGCTGCAGCGTATCTGGGGGCTGGTCCCCCCGGCCTGTCCAGGCGAGGGCTGCAGCCTGTCTGGAGGTTGGTCCCCCCGGCCCATTCCCAATCTGGTGGCTCCACAGCACCATGCCATCTCTTTCCTCTGGCCTGGGCAGGCCCTATTGTCCCTCGTAGCTTGTTTTCCTGAGCCCTGGTAACTGGAAGCCAATCTGGATTAATGCCAGGGCTTTAGGGGTGCAGGCCACGGCCTCGGGCTCTGGTGGCCCTGGTGCAGCGGGGCTCAGGTAGGCTGTCTGCATGCGGTGGCCCCACGCCGCTCCCAGAAGGGGCCAGCTGCTGGCACGTCTCTGCGGCCTCTGGCAAGCAGGGTGGGGAGGGGGTTCTTGGTCTCCTGAATCCCAGCCTGGAGCCCCCTCCTGCACCCAAACTCCCTCCCAGAAAGAAACTAATATAACAGCTGTTCTCAAGTAAGTAGTAGGCTATTTTGAATTAACTTAACTATATTCTACATGTTTTAAAACTCAAATGTAACCACAGAATGGCTTTATGTTAAATAAGAGGCAAGTTTAGTATAGTGTTAATAGCCTCGATGCCATAATTGTGATCATTTTGTTTTAAATTAGGAAAAAGACTTGGATACAGGGGCCCCACAAAATCTAATAGCCCTAGGCCCGCAGAAGAGTTAATCTGGCCCTGAGTGGAGGAAATACCTTTCTCACACTTGTCTATGGGACAGTGGAGTAGGAAGGGTCTGTGCTGTACACTCACACTTAAAACGTAGCTGGATAAATGGTAAGAGTCTGGGGTCAGGCTAGATCATTACAATGGGCCCTTTGGGTCTTAAAATCAATGGAAGATTAATTTAGCCCGACAATTGTTACATTTTCTCCAACGGCCTTGGAGAACATGTTGGTAGAATTTGAAGAAAGCTACTCTACGTGTTATTTGAGTTATGTTGTTAGAAAAAGACCCAATTTTAAATTGTGTGTGTGAGAGAGAGAGAGAGAGAGATGGACTTAGCCCTTCCTACCCAGTGGCCAGGCGCGGCCTCCTGGCCTCACTATACATTAACTTTATGATGGTTCCTAAGCCCACAGGCAGCAGCCCCACCCAGCTCTGAGCTGCTCTCCCTCATTCCTGGGCGCTGGAGAGGCAGAATTGCACATGAATTGCACAGCTGGGAACAGGCCCTTGGTTTCCTGAATCCCAGCCAGGGGCTCTATTTATGCCTTATTGAAATAACCTGCAGTGGATCCTATTTCAGGGGTCCCTGCAGCAGCTCAAGAGCTGAGGGCGGGGCAGTGGTGGGTGTTATCCCTTCCCACATTTTCAGCACCGTGGGAGTCCTTGGACTAGCTCCTGGGACTAGTCTGTGACAATAGCTCCTTTCAGGGCATTAGGTAGCACATTTCTCACTATGAAACTGTTTAATCTTGAGCTGCGGACCAGCCCAACATACCTTCTGACCAGCCTGCACAGGGCAACACCCATCCAGCTGGCAAAGCTCAATCTCCGTTTCTTCCAAGGGCTGTAATGATTTCTCTGCTACTCTTGGTTTAGTCCAGTTCTGTGTGAACCCAGTGATGACACTGATCAGCGATTGCCTTCTGTTTCGCTGGAGTTGGCCATGGAATGTATTGGTACAAAACTCGCATCGAGAGGATATTCACCGTGATGATTTCCATTCTCCTTTACCCTCTACAGAACCCCACCTTAAAACCTACCCGTGCTGTGATCCCCGCCATTCCCTCCTGCCTGCCAATGGCCAGCCAAGAGACTAGCCAGGAAGTCTGGTCTTCTCCTACCTCTGGTCATTTTATTCTTCCAAACCACCCCAATTTATTGTCTTTTTCATCCACCTGTTGCACCCTGATGCCCAAGACTATGAGGATGCTGAGGCAGGACTGCCTTAGCTGTTACTTCTCTGTGCAGCACCTGGCTCAGCAGGGCCCTGATCCTTGATTGGGATTCCCAGGTGCCACCGTAATATAAACAACTACAAACATATGGACAGGACATCCCCCCTTTTTTGCATCGTCTTCTATCTTCTGGAGCCACGTGCTGCCAAGGAGTGTAACTGATGCCAGTTCTAAAAGCCGTGTGTAAGACAGTTCCAGTCAGGGTGAACTTAGAAGCGGGCGTCAGGTTTTCATAAAGATGCCCGTTTACTGCTCTTCAACAGCGACAATGAGAGCAATTCCTGAACCCTGGCTGCCCAGCCGCACAGGAACAGACAGGAGGCACAGTTCTGCTCTGAATTCCAGTGACTCAGCTTCCCCTCCCCGCATCATGGCACCAAAAGAAAAAACGGCACCTGCAAGTCCATGTCCAGTAACTGGCACAAGCGCCAAGTTCTGGGACCTCTCTTCCTAGCTGGGCGCCTGCCCAGAGTTATTTGCTCTGTAAAGAGCAGTAACATCTACAGGCCTGAAACGAAAGGCAAAGAGCAGCCGCAAGAATCCCAACTGTTTAATTACAAAACAGAGAGGACGGGAGAGGCACAAACAGCGAGATTCACCCCCATGTATACTAAGGGAAATCAGAACAGCTGACAGCATGTTCTTTCACCAGCGGTGGGGAGTTACCGCGGAGACAGGCGTTTGCTAAGCTGGAGATTGGAAAGTGTCACAGGCACTAGGCGGCTGCTCTCTAATGTGGTTAATAAAGGGTTGGGGGGGGGGGGGGGGTGTTGAGTTGTGAAGTGTTTGTGCCTTAAAGAATTTGGGGACAGAGGAAGAGTCAGGTGGAAAAACATGCTAGTAAGTCAGGGGAGGAGCATAGCGTTTCAGGCCAGAAGGAACCAGATCATCCAGTCAGACCTCCTGCATAGCCCAGGCCACCAGCAGCACCCACCACCTGCAACCCAACAACCAAAGTCACACCAAACTATGACAGCCCACAAGGAATGAGACTATGATGTGCCACAAGCAGAGAGCAGGAGGGGCCTATGTACCCCTGGGCACCGGGTCCCTGCAAATGGCAGGGAAGTGATTGAGATAGACCCAGATAATCCTGACAAGTGAGCCACACCCCAACGCTGCACAGGAAAGCAAAACCCCCCAAGGTCACCCCCAATTCCTTCCTGCCCCTACACATGGTGATCAGTTAGACCCTGAGCATGGGAGCAAGAACCAGCCAGCCCAGCATCTGAGAGAGAGCTTGCTCAGAGCCACCTCGGAGCCCTGGCCCTCCCTGTCCAACCTCCCATCTCCAGCTAGAGCCATCAGAGGAAGGTGATGATAAAACCCCACAACCAACCCAAAAGAGGGGGAGGAAACTCTTCTAGACCCCTACAGGTGGTGGCTGAAGCCTGAAGCTGTTGGCCAGGCCAGAGGTTGGCTGGGCAGGGCCTGACCCAGTGCTCTGGGACAACTGCACCTTCCACGGAGGTTTGATGGGCGCTTCAGTGACAATATTGACACTGGTCTCAGAGGAGCAGCCGTGTTAGTCTGTATCCGCAAAAAGAACAGGAGGACTTGCGGCACCTTAGAGACTAACACATTTATTTAAGGTTTCAGAGGAACAGCCGTGTTAGTCTGTATTCGCAAAAAGAAAAGGAGTACTTGTGGCACCTTAGAGACTAACCAATTTATTTGAGCATGAGCTTTCGTGAGCTACAGCTCAGCTCATGCTCAAATAAATTGGTTAGTCTCTAAGGTGCCACAAGTACTCCTTTTCTTTTTACATTTATTTAAGCATAAGCTTTCATGAGCTACAGCTCGCTAACACTGACCTCTGAAAAGGGAGGGCTTTGCAAGGTGGGGCAGGGGAGTGGCACAGAGGGAGGAGCTTGGATACCCCAGGGATGGTCTGGGTGTGAGACCTGAGACAGATCCCAGGCTACTTTGGTGAAGAGCAAGGGTGTGAACGAGGCACAGGGCCATGAGGGAGATGGGAAGACAGAGGACAGGAGGGATATGCCACACAGAGCAGGGGAGAGTCTGTCCCTCTTCCAGCCCCTGGGGATGGCTAACAAGCTCCGTACCTGACAACCACCGCGCAGACACAGATCCTGTCATGAACCAGACATCTGCTGTCTGCTTCCAGCTCTCTCTCCTCCGCCCGTTCCTAGCTACGGCAGACGATCCTTGCAGCAGGAGCCTTGCCTTCACTTCTGGCTGTGAAGTGCCATTGAACAGGTTTGAATAAAATGCGGAAGCTAAAGCCCAAGTGCCCCTCATCCCCCTCACTCAGCCATTCTCCTGAGCAGCAGAGGGACCTTGCATGCACACCCAGGAACCACCAGCAAGCAGCCCCAGTCAAAGCAAACACTGTTTATTCGGGTTCTGCCTGGGAACCCAGTGCTCTGTACAGGAAAAAAAAGCTCAGACAGCGAGCACCCTACGTGGCCAGACTCCACCGAGCTGGGGATGAATAACACTCTGGCATTTCAGGCACCAGCAGCAACAATGACAACCAGGAGTCAAAAATACTTTGATTTAAAAATGCGCAAGTCCAGCATCATATAAAACCTGACGCTCAGGACGCTGGGTTTGCTGGCTGGCTGGGCACGTTCCACCAATAACAGCGCAGGGGGTCCTTTCTCCTCTGCTTCCCAGCACAGGGGGAACAAGGGGAGAGCTGGCCTAAGCAGAGGTTTGTCTAGACATGGATGTACAAAGTGATTTCTCCAGACACGCTCTCCCCGTGGAGCAGCTCAGGTGCCTTAGGACTTGATCCACATTTCCACTTGTGCAGCAGTGAAATTCTTTATACATTTCCCCCCTTAAGTTTTGAGTGACCAGGAAGGAAACGTAAGCTTTGCATAGACACAAACCCACATGCTGCAGTGGGCCCTGCCCATGAGAGCTCCCCGCAGGATGCTCCCCAGCATGGAGGCTGCCTCAGGAATCACGGTGAGGCTGAGAAGACACCAAGGGTCCCAGGGAAGGAGCGAGGACACAGCGCCTTGCAGTGCTGAGGCTGTGGTAACACCCAAGAGGTTTGGCTTATGGATCCACCCCCTTTCAAGCCACAGTCGTTCCGTTCTATACCCAGTGGTTCACACCACGCCCATCACTGCGAGGTCAGAGCATTGATCCCCAGATACTGCGGACACCAGCATCAAGAGCTGCTCCGCCCTGGGAGCAAACCGGGCCTGAATCAGGGAATTGTTTTCAAAGAGGCCAGAGGGTGAAACGGCTCAACAAGCAGGAGAAAGCAGAAATGCTGGTAGGAAAGGAGCATCCAGCCACTGGAGGGATGAACGCTGCAGTAAGGCAAAGAGCAGGAGCAGCTGGTTTGCACTCCCTCCTACCAGGTGCCCACAAGGAAAACCCGAGCAGGAATGGGAGACTGGGCCCCGAGGAGAGCAGCCAGCCTGGAGCCCACCCTGGCTTTCTGGGTGCTGGGCGCCTCCCCCAGCCACACACACAGGGCAGAGGCTCTCGCTGCCCTTCACAGGCGACTCCCCACAGAGCGGTGCTAAGGCGATGCGGCAATGTCCACGTTCCATCAAAGCAGCAGTTCAGCTCCGGCCCCACAGCTCGGCCTCCGGGAAGCCAGTCACCTCCCCCACTTCGCTGAAGGGCCGCTCGCCCTGCGTGAACATGAGCTTGTACCGTAATCGGATGGGGTCCTGGACAGGGGCGAGAGGAACGTTAGACAGGCAGGTTACGTGGCCTGCTCCCCTCCACCCCACCTCTGCTAATGCCGAGGGGCTGATGGGTCCTGCAAGGGGAGGGCAACACCCTGAAGCAATGGACACAGCAGTTGTAACGCTATGGGGGGGGGGAAGCGGGGGAGCTGTCCCACAGGCCACCCAAGGGAGTTCCCAGACAGCTGTGCCTGGCCACATTCCCTCTCTGAGGAACCCACAGTCTACCCCATAACCATTAACCGCAGAGTCACCCTCCAGGGCCTGGCCAGCTTGAAGAACACATCTAGGGTGCCTCATGTTCCAGCAGGAATAGCCATCAGTGTTCCCATGCATGTCAGCACCAGAGAGCCCTCCAGGTCCCACCACTGCATACAGGCTGCGGCGGGGTAAGGCAGTGAAGGGGTTAAAGCTGCAGCCCGCAACGGCCACGCACACCTCAAGATCACCAAGCCCATCAGCTGGAGTCTCTCTCCTCTGGCTCATCCCCCTCCCTCCTCCCTCCCCCCCCGCCCCACCGAAAGCTCCACTCTTACTGCAGCTTCAGCTATCGCGGATTTCCCACAGGATTCAGAGCTCTGCCCTGCTAGGAGAGCTCCCCAATGCTGCTGCCTTGCTGGCAGAACCCAGATGGCCCTGCCTCTCCTAGCATCAGCTCCCCATACACACGTCAAAGGCGAGCGCTTAGCAGGGTCACTGCCACGTACTTTGTGTGGGTTGGCGAGCAGCAGAACCTGGGATATCACAGCTGGAGGGAGCAAAGGGCTGAAGGCAGGAAGCTCAGAACCAGTCGCCGGCTGCAACTTTACTCTCATAACCTGCCATGAGAGAGAGATCACAAGACACATGTTCTAATCACCACTGGAGATGGGCTGGGAGCACTCAGAGCCCCAGAGCCAGTCCTGGGTATATATATGCCAGCCACGCCTTGTCATGCACAAGACTAGTGCACCACGAGCGAAGAGTAAGTGCTGAGAGGAGCATGCAATGGATCCTTACAATGCAAACCACCTTCCGTGTCCGGAGGAAGGAAAGCTGCTACTATCGCCATAAAACCCAGGGGGCAGGGGAGTCCTGGTTCTGTGCCTGGGTGCCTGATGCTGCCACACAGGCTCAGGACAGAGGCTTGCTCATGGTCTCTGGAGGGCGTGGTCAGTGCAAGGGGCTGGCTGTACGTGTGAGCAAAAAGCTACAGGAGTTCAAGGACAGGGACATCCCGGTGATACTGGGAGGGCACCATGATGCAGAGAGCTCCAGGGGACAAAGGTAGTTGGGGTTTGGTACATGCATAAACCGGGTGTAACTGAGCACAGAGCCAGTGTGTCAAACCCCTGGATTCTCGGTTACACTGCTCTGTTCACACAGGTGTATAACATGCCTGGGCTTTCCCCAAAGCCTAGTCCAGTGAGGGGGGCATGCAGAGGCTCTAAGCAAATGCATGCCCCTTCAGTAGGATTTTAATGAAAGGCTTTTAATTGAGCACAGGTACAAAGACAGGACATGTGGCTTCCTCGTGAAGTTATTATCCTCCAGTTAAGTAATGCACCCAGGCTAGCCCTCAGGCCAGGTCTCCTGTGAAGCAGGGGGCAGGGCTGTATATTAAGCAGCCAGTGAATACATTACTAGAAACGAGCAGCTTGGTTACTTTGTTATTTCAAGTATTCGAGGAAACCCCTAAGCCAGAAACGGCAGTGCTTTCATTCAGGATAATTTTCCCAGGTCCCACTCCCACGTTCTCACCTTTGGGACCGCAGCCTGGAACACAATGTCCTTAATTGGCTGAGTGGATGTGCTCAGCATGGAGAGCACCATCACCAGTACATCTGGTCGCCCAGGGGCTAGGTCTCTGGAGAAATGGATCATGACCTTGAAACCATCTTGATCATACACTGTAACTGGAGGGATATGGCCTGTCAGAGACAAAACAGAGTCAGGAGAGGATGCAAAGGCCACCTGGGAACAGGAACCGCCCCTTCCTTCTGAGAGAGAACAGGAGAGAGACAGAATGAGGAACAAAGAAAGGGAAACGCTCTCACAAACTGTCGTCTTCCTCAGTAACATCAGAGGTCAGTGCAAAGCCCAAAGGTGTCTGTGTGCACCTGTCCTGCTCCTTTGTGACAGAGCACAGGGAACCTGAGCCTGCCTAAAGTTAGGGCTGGGAGAGCAGCTGCTCCAATTTTACCATCCAGCTGGGACAGCTCTGTCCAGGCCCTCCAAAGTCTGCTGAAGTCCCTCACGTAAAAGAGGGAAGGCAGACAAGGAGGTAATGAAGTCTTTGAGTCTATCTTTATAGCTCAAGGAGCAGTAACAGGCTGAGACTTTAACACGACATTGACATGCTTCAGCCGTACCTTGCTTTGCTGGGCCCAGTAACACAGGGAAAAGGCAGAGGGAAAGGAGCACAGTTCTGTTTAGGGAAGAGAGATAACCTGCTGATGACCAGTTAAGGCAGACTCTGGCATAGCTGGTGCCCAGGCCTGGCAGAGCTGCTCAGAGCTATGCGGGGGATGATACTACCTGTAGGTTTCGAAGCCCACTGTACAGTTCACATATCTGTATCATGAGAGTGGGAGGCAACCTGGCCATGGGTAGGGAGGGCTAAGTACATCTCCATGGCCGGGCTCCCGGAGTTCAGACATAGTAAGTACTAGGCAGAGTTACCCTAAAATCTGTCCAGCTTCCCCGCCCCATGAGCAATCCCAGCCTTCAATGCCATAAAGAAGCTGCACTGAGCAGAGCTGGGACACAGAGATCAGTGCACTTACTCGGTGTAATTGAAGTGAGTGGGACAAAAAGGTTTGCCAAAGCAGCATCGTGGGCAGCTGGCTGCGAAGGAGCAGCAGGTTTCAACTCATAGGCTGGGTCAGAGAACAAAGCGTCTGCAGCTAAGCTGCTTGGAAGGCCTGCCGGGGACAGTTGCACTGGTGGTAAGTTCCTGGAAGGAAAAACATTCAGATAACTGACATTAACTGAAGAGATCACATATGGGATCTCATCCCGTCCTCTCCAGCATCTGCCCTGCCCTCAGAATCATCCACCCCCTTTAGGGTACAAAGAACCTACTGTCCGAAGACTTAAGGGAGTTATCAAGTTTGGAGGCAGGCACTATGTTACACTGAAGATGCTGCTGCTTCTGTGTTCATTAGGCTGAACTTTTGTCTCTGTTGCAGTGAGTAGATTTTGTTACAAGGTGCTGGCAGTTGCTCTCCATGACAGCTGCAGCCAGGCTCTAATACAAACCCTGCTCTCAGTCTCCCTGTAATGCTGGAGCAAGATTAAAGTACGCTCCCGCTCAGCCACAAAGTAAGGAGTTGAGGCAGGAATCACTGTGTGAAATCCCTTGGCCAGGGGTCAGGCTAGATCATTACAATGGGCCCTTTGGGGCTTAAAATCGATGGAAGATTAATTTAGCCCAACAATTGTGATATTTTCTCCAAAGGCCTTGGAGAACATGTTGGCAAAATTTGAAGAAAACTGCTCCAAGTGTTATTTGAGTTACAGTGTTATAAAAAGACCCAATTTATAAATTGTGTGCGTGTGTGCATGCGTGTGTGGGACCGACCGAACAACCGCTGGTCCATCTAGTCCAGTATTCTGTCTTCCAACAGCAGACAGTGCCCAATGCTTCAAAGGGAATGAACAGAACAGGGCAATTTTGAGTGATCCATCCCCAGTCATCCAGTCCCAGCTTCTGGCAGCTGGAGGTTTAGGGACGCCCAGAGCACAAAGTTACATTCCTGACCATCTTGGCTACTCGCCACGGGTTGACGGTGAGCTGTGAGAAGAAGCACTTCCTTTTGTTTGTTCTAAACTTGCTGCCCATTGATTTCATTGGGTGACCCCTGGTTCCTGTGTTGTGTGAAGGGGTAAATGACACTTCCTGATTCATGCTCTCCGCACCCCTCATGATTTTACGGACTTCAATCATCTCCCCCGAGTTGTCTCTTTTCTAAGTTGAACCGTCCCCGTCTCTTTTTAATTGCTTGCTACCAACTCTTGGGATTGTCCTTCAAGTTAAGAACTCCTTGAAAACGTGGTGCTGGCTGTATCTGAAGACCCTGGCTTGCCATTCAGCAAAGCTAGAAATGACTGTTGTAACCAACTATAAGAAGTTACAGTGAGCCATCGAGCAGCTTGCCCTTTACTGGCAGGTTGCAGTTTAACAGATGATAAGGGGTTTTCCGTACTTCAGTGCCAGAGCAGAGGACTCCCCTTTTCCAAACCAGTGTGCTGTACAGTCTGCTTACATTGGAAATGGCCTGGTCACAGGAGGTGGAGACAGCTGCCCTGCCAAATCCTGAAGCGCACTCCTCTCTGGTGAGCCACCCTGCCAGCTATCCCCCAGCACCATGGTTTGATGGGTATCGGCATTTCCGGTTTGATTATATCCATTGTGCCCAGCACTCTGCCAAATAAAGAGGTTCTGATTCACCAAGCAGCTACAGAACACCCGCAGAAGCCACACACATCCTGCTGAAACAACCTGTTTTTAAACACAGGCTGAAATGGGACGATTATAGACAACCTAGTGGCAAGTCCCACCCCAACAACACTGCCACTCTCAGACTAGGGCTGGGACAAAAATGAGTGCTCCTGCCTCCCCAGCCTGCATCCTGGTGGCTCTGCATCCGCAGATACCTACAAACCCCAGGAGTGTCCCCTGACCTCCTGTGTTACAAGGCACAGGGACCACATGGCACAGCCTTCTGCTACAGAAACAGAGGCCTTTACTACCTAAGCTGAAGGAGAATCTCCCATAGCTGCCTACAGTATTAGGGCTCAGAGCATCTTCTAATCTCTCCAACCCTTGCAGGAAGATCAGAGCACTTGCAGATCTGATTCTTTCCAATAGGGGTCAGTGGTGCACGCACCAATCAACTCTCCCAGTGGATGGACTTCCACAAATATTGATCAACACATTATTGCCAACCTCTCATTGGGGGAATGGGGGGCAGCCATTAGTATTTGTAATTCTAAGCCCCCCAAATATGTGTATGTGGGGGAGCAATAGAACCTGCAGCTAATGCACGTTGGGGCAAGCTAGGTCAGCAGAAAACTGTAAATGGTATATGGAGGACTACGCTACCAGGGGACCACTCACCTGTACTGAGCTGAAATCAGGTGACGGCCTCTGTCCAACAGGGGATTCATTGAGACCTACGGTAGGGAACCAAAGTACAGACCAATCAGAGCAGGTAGGGCACTCCCATTTGCCAAGTACCTATGAGGTCTAATAGCAGAGCTGGACTGTGATTGGACTCCCTGAAAACTCCCAGCATTTGCCCTGGCTCAGAGGGCTCTGGTTAAAAAGAAAGCTACCGAACCTGCAATATACACAGTCATCCCTAAGGATCAAGGACAGCCCCATCCCTGAGCCCCAAGGACAGACCTAATGACATTAGTTCCTCGTCGAGCAGGCAGGCGGAGGTGCTGCTGTGCTGAGTGGCAGCTGTCGCGTTCACGCTCTGCTCCGAGAGAGACTCGAACGTGGAACCCAGCTCGGAGAAGTCGATCAGTGTGTAACTCTTCGTACTGCCCAGCGGGGACCGAGGTGCTTTGGGAGTGAGAGAGAGCGTTAAAGAGCTGCCGTCTCGTGTGCCACGCCCCGGCCGCTCTGACCCAGCCGCTAGCTCAGTGGTGTTTGGATTTTTTGGTTTAGTGACCCCTTTCACACAGCAAGCCTCTGAGTGTGATTCCCCCCTTATAAATCAAAAACAAAGGAGTTAATTTAATTTAATGGGGGCTTGGGGCTGTCAGTCCCATGGAGCTGACCACTCACGATCCTGAGGGATCACAACCCCCCGTTTGAGAACCCCTGTGAGCTGATCCACAGTGAGAGGGGAGGGCTTTCCTGAACATTTTTTTAAACACATTTATTGAAAATCCTACGGCTGGAAAAACCCTAGAAAATCTTAACTGGACCAGCATTTTCCTAGGAGCACAAGGCCTCTTTCAGCTCTTAGGCTCCATCAATACTGGGCTTTGAATCGTATCTGAAAGCAGGATTTGAACATGGTTAAAACATGGCTCAGGTTAGCATGCTTTCACAAGGGACTGGGCTGACCAGGGTCGATGGAGCAAACCTATTTCAAACTCTTCACAAGAGCCAGGCATGAGCCAGTGACACTCCTGAGTGCCGTTAACCAGCTGTCTTAACACCGCTCCAGCTACGTACAGCCCGCCTCATGGTCGAGAACGGACATAAGTGACCTGTGCAGCACCATAACAAGTCAGAGAGAATGGGGGGCCACATGGTGCCACTTCTCTACAGTGTCAGGGGTCGTTTCCCAGGTCGGGCGTAGCTGTTTAAGGGAAGCGTCCTGCAAAAGATTTTGTAAGAATTGGGATTGGGCCCTTTTCTGCTTCTTTCTGGCGTAGAAAGAAACCTAAAAGGGTTTCCTGATTGTTTTATACCTTGGAAATATCGGGAATATCAAGTCAAGTTCCCCCTGGTTTTGCTGGAGGACGCAGAGCAGGTTACTTGTGTACTCTCACCTTAATAGAAGGATAGCTCTTTAACAAACACTTCCTTTCTCCTGGGTTAGTCTTTGACGTTAAAGAGATATTAGCAAACCAAACTCTGTTCGAGTCTAACTAGCGACCCTTTCCCCTCTCAAGGGCACAGTCTTCACTCTCTGGGCAATGGTGATGTCACCATCTGACTATGTCTCCAGCCACCACGGAGTCTGCCAGCCTGGAATTTCTACTGTAACACACATAACGCTTCAGGCCACTTGGATACAGCAGAAAGAAGCAGAAGGAGGCACAAACCCATTTTTGTTTTCCTTTTCAGGTCTCCTTGTAAATACACAAAGAGCTCGAGTAGCCACCTTCCCACATAACTGCTTAGCCTGAGGCAAGGGGGAGGCCTAATACAGCCACACTCCAGTACCCTCCCTGGCCCCCAGCGAACTCACTGAAAGGCCTGGCAGTGGGAATCTCGTGTGCTGTTCTGGGCATTTCAGGGCCTTCCCCACGTTTGGTCTCCAGGCCCCACCCCGCCTTCCTTCCAAGCCCCATTCAGACACCGTAAACCAGCAAGGAAGCAGGTTCCTTTGCGGCTGTGGGGGACCCTTTCTACCTGAGGCATCCGTGGAGATGGTCACCGAACTCCTCCTGCCCTGGTCACAGCCCACTCCAACCTGCCTGTACAAGTCGAGCGCCTGGGTGAGTTTGTCATTGGCCTGGAGAATCTCTGCTGGAGAAAGAGGAAGACAAACAAATTAATTATACTCCAACAGGAGGGCAATGGAGGGCCACACTCCGTGCTGGTCACGACAGAGCCAGTCTGTGTCTGGGAACCCGCCACACGCCGGTCCAAGCCCAGCTGGCCACTCGGCTTTTGTTGCAGGGGTTGAGGATAGGTCCATTGAATACCAGCTTCCTTCTCAGACTGACCCATGTGTATCTAGCTGAGATGCTGTGATGTCACACACACAGCTGAGATGCTGTGATGTCACACACATGCCCCGTGAGCCCTGCCTAGAGGCTGCAGCCTGGAGCTGGGATTCTCAGCTTTGCCACTGTTTAAAACAAACAAAAGGGACAACGCACAGTCAATCTGTGAAACTCCTTGCCAGAGGATGTTGTGAAGGCCAAGACTATAACAGGGTTCAAAAAAGAATGAGCTAAGTTCATGAAGGATAGGTCCATCAATGGCTATTAGCCAGGATGGGCAGGGGTGGTGTCCCTGGCCTCTGTTTGCCAGAAGCTGGGAATGGGTGACAGGGGATGGATCACTTGCTGATTACTGTTCTGTTCATTCCCTCTGGGGCACCTAGCATTGGCCACTGTCAGAACACAGGATACTGGTCTGGATGGACCTTTGGTCTGACCCAGTGTGGACATTCTTATGTTTAGGCCTGTCACTTGTAAAACAGGGATACCAATAGCAGCCTATCTCCCAGGAAGAGCATGAAGTGACATTCAGTCTGTTACCTCAGAGGGAAGTGCTAGAGAGATGCAAAGTAGTGTTATCTCAGGCCTAGGGACTGGGACAGCAAAGTGGACAATAAGAAAATGGCTTTGACTTATGTATCTGAATGGGGATTTAGTGGGCTCTAGACACTGTATTTTGTTGCATGTTCTCTTAAACTGCCACTTTCTTTGTTACTATCTGGTTCGCTTAGATCTGAGCCTGACTGAAGTGCTGGGTGCGTGGGACACAGGGATACAGTGCCTGTGTCTGAGACATGGGGGCAGGGAGTCAGATATCCTTAGGTGGGAAGGTAGAGTCCTGATGGACGGAGCAAAGGGCCTACTCTCCTCCCGACTCCAGCAGTGCCATCCCCACGACCCAAAACGAAGATGAGAGACATTAAATGGAACTCCTCAGGATAGAGATGGCTCTTGGTTAGATCCTGTCCTTAAAAGCCCAGGGAGTTTGGGGCTCTTGATCTAGTTGCTGGGGGGATTAGTTTACACTTCACCCAAATCGCAGCCTTTGATATGTTTGCTCCCAGGCTCAGGGGGCTGAACAGCAGGGGCTGGTGCGGCAGGTGAGGAAGGAGGTACATTTCCAAAGCTGGTGGGCTCTGAAGTGTAACAGCAGGGATGCTGCTGGTTAGGAACGGGTGGGCCACTCCAGTAACATCAGGAGAGTCCCACAGTCCCTGCTTGCACTAAAACCCAGAGTTCAGACAGTAGGACGGGGAGTGAGAGAGGTGAGGAAAGAGCAGCAACAGCATATTTTGTTAGATACCCAAAGCCTCGTCATCTTCAGTAGTCTCGCTGGCAAGGCGGAAGAGCAGCGGCCTGAGCTTCTCACAGCGTTCAAACAGGCTCTGGAGAAGAGAACAAGAGAGTCAAGCTATTTGCTTGTTAGATCACGGGTCCTCAGAACCCCGGCCCAGCCTCTGGGGCCACAAAACCCAGAGAGGAAAGGAAGTTAGCTATACAGGCAGCCCTGGTAAAATGCAGCCACGCTTTCTGCTCAGTTCCAGACGCTGGCTTTGTCAAAGCCAGAGAAGACAGTTCAGCGCGTTACTTCCCCTTTAAAATGTGCAATAAGTAAGGCCATGATTTAGTCACAAAAAGAAAAGGAGTACTTGTGGCACCTTAGAGACTAATCAATTTATTTGAGCATAAGCTTTCGTGAGCTACAGCTCACTTCATCGGATGCATATTCCGATGAAGTGAGCTGTAGCTCACGAAAGCTTATGCTCAAATAAATTGATTAGTCTCTAAGGTGCCACAAGTACTCCTTTTCTTTTTGCGAATACAGGCTAACACGGCTGTTACTCTGAAACCTGGATTTAGTCACAGGTATTTTTAGTAAAAGTCATGGACAGGTCACGGGCAATAACCAAAAAGCCACGGCCTGTGACCTGTCTGAGACATTTACTAAAAATATCCCTCACTAAATCTTAGGTGCTGGGGTGGGGCAGGCGCTCCCATGGATGCTGCTGCTCTGGGGGGGAGGGAGGGGTGTTTTCCAGGGGACGCTGCCTCTGCTGGAGGGGGGTGGCCTGGGGCCCCGCAGCTGCTGCCAGGTTGGGGGGGAGGGGAGATCCACCCCCTGAGCGGGGGGAATCCCCCCCCACCAGTCACAACACTCACATATACAGATTAATAGGCAGCTCTGCCCCCAGTTTTCACATCCCGTCACTGCTAGACGCCATCAGTGATACCAAATCAATGAGCCTCAAGGCAGGAGGTGTCATTCACCTGCAGAATCTGTAGGTCAGATTTGGGTAACTCCTGCCTCTTGTAGCTGGTCAGCATTTCACCCAGAAGCTTAACGCTGTTGTGAACCTCATCAATTGCATTCAGTCTTTTGGACACCTTGGCAGATTTTTCTTGTTCCTTTGAGACAAAATAAAACAAAGGGCGAAGGGGATGAAATCCCTGATTTAGCCAATAACCTCATCACACATTATGCTGATAGCTTGGACTTCTGCAATATCCCACTGCCTGGCCAGTAATTTCTACTTGTATTCCATAAAACAGAAAACAATGCTAGAAAGGACACACAATGCACCTCAGTGCTAGAAGCTGGGGTGAAATTCACCTCGTCGGAGTGCAGCACAAGGCTCGCGCCTCCCTGAAGTGCCAAGGACTGAGCCAGACTCCCCAGAACACATGGGCCTTGCGCTGGTCCCCTGCACGGGGCGAATTTCACCCCAGCTGCACCAGCTTGTGCTGCAGAGTCTCCAAACTCTCATCTCCGTTACAGCTAAACAAGTTGCAAACCCGTGAGCTGCCAACGGCAAGTCCAGCCAAGCTCTGCCTCGCTCTGAGCAGTGGCAGACATTATGCACTCCGTGCTTCAGAGGATCACTGTTGAAACCAAACTGTGAAACTGCCTCCCCTGCCCCACTCCCCTCCCGCCTCTCCCCCCAACTGCCAGCAGAAGCTTCTTTGACACTCAGAGCTGTGAGCTTCTCATGATGCCTACCTCTTTAATCATGCTCTTGATCAGCCTGTTGGCTGCCTGCAGGTCCTCAGGGTGGTTGCTCTTTAGAAGTCTTGCTAAGAGCTGTTGAGTGGAGACCATTAGAAGACAGACAGCATGAGCAACAGCCCCAGGCACCATAATGCAGCCACTCACCCAATAAATGCAGATGTGTCCAGGGCCCTACTGCCATAGCTGGGCTATAGCTCTATGGACATGTGGACTCACATCTCACAATCTGATCAGGGTCACACTGCTGCCACACAGGCTGCCAGCCTCACTGAGCTTGTAATGCTGCCTGCATATGTCAGCAAGAGGACAGAAGGAAACTGTAGTCAACAGTGCGGAAGGAAAATAGGTGACAAATACAAGCCAGATGTTAGAAAAATGAATCCTGGTTCTGAAACAGACTCTCTCTGTGGCATAGAGCAAGTTACATAATCCTCGGTGCCTCTGTTTCCCCATCTCCAAACAGAGATAATGATACTCACCTGTCTGACTAGGGGGCGATAGGGTTACTTATTAGCTAGCCTTTGTGCAGCATGGAATGTGATAAGTATTAGCATTATTCTAAGGAGATCTTCTCCCTGGAACCATAAAGGCCCAAAATACGACCACACACACTCTCCTGACAATACAACCTAATCAGAGGAGGACACAGATTTGAAAACATGAGATTTACCTTGGATTTCTCTTCATCAACATCAAAAATAGAATTCTTAGGTCTCGGAGAAGGAGGTGGTAAAATTTTGTCTTCTAGGAGTTTGGGGTCTTGTTTTATGACTCCTGAAATGAGTAACAGAGAGAGAGATTCTACCAGCCCCCATGCAGCTTTGCACAATGCTCAGCCGGGTACCGAACCCTGTTGACCTCTACCACGTCTGCTGGCAATTAAGTACCCCCAACACAATTTTAAGGAATGAGGGGAAGAAGGAACCAGTGGGCTTAGCATGTACCCCAAAAGCAGGTACATGCTAAGATGAGAAATACACGACTCAACTGGCTGTCTGAGATCAAGCAAAAGGGTGGGGGAGGTTTTCAGGACAGGAAGATGAGGAATAAAAGCCTGGCAGTTTCCCTACAGGGGAATCTGTGGCACCATCTCCCAGAAAGGACTCTGTTCTCCATTAGTTCATAGTTAGGCAGGTCAGAAATCCTTTCTGAGGCTGCTTAGCCCTGCAGGGTCATCTGCCAGTGCCCAGAGCCATAAAACACAGGCAGCTCACTAACATGAACACACAGCAGAGGCAGTCTCAGAGCTTCTGTGAAATTCTCCTTCGCTCCTTCCTAGACACACTGCCTCTGCATGCGTGACAGGCTGTCGTCTTCAGATGTCACCAGAGTGGTGGTCTGCTCTGTTCAATGTTGATAACACTCGGCTGCGTGCATATGTTTCCTCTGTGTACTGCCCTGGCTCTGCAGATCGCTGACACAGCAGACCCCGAGAGAACGCCCAATGACCACAGGCTCCGATAAGGTACGAAGGCACCTGGCCAGGTTTATTGTCAAATGAAGCACAGTAATAGTTTCCTGCAGACTCTACAGGACATACTACGAATATGTGCCCCTGACAATGGACCAGGTCAGTAAGTGGCAGGATTCTCCACTGCCCACAGGCCACACAAAGACAACCCCTCAGAGGTACACTTCTATACACAGGTACAAACAAGTTACACATCACTCCTGACGTACAGAGGTACAACCCCTCTACGTATTAGGGTGCCGCCTCTCACCTTGTACATGTTGGTTTGAACAAAACAACTCTACCCATCATATTACCCTCCTGCCCTATCTTTAGGATGGGTCAGCCTGTTCCTTGTTATCTATGTGGAACGTGCTAGTACCGGAATGTTCTGGTACCATCCTGGCATGTGTTTATATTACCAGTGCTTAGTACCTGTTAGGTAGGTGTATTTTTGCAACATCAGCCTTCTTCTTGCCAGCTCCTGTGAGCAGGGCCTGCCTCTGGCTCACAGCTTAACTTTGCTTTACGTTAGCAAAATCTTGACCATTCCTTTAGTTCAGGCCTTAGGCCTCACACCGGGCCTCTGATACAAGCGCTTACGTTTCAGGGCCTCCTCTTACCACTGCTGCTTGCAGGAGACACTGCAGCCAGTCACACACAAGGCTGCTGACTGGTTTTGTGAAGATCTGTACTGTCCAGCCAACTGTCTGATTTACTGCCCACCTGACCTCTGCGGGGCACCCAGTCTGGTACCTCCAGGCCCTGCCCAGGGGGCTGGCTTCCTAACAAATCTAAACCTTCCCCATCAAACAAATCTAAACCTTCCCTGGCCTCCGAACAAGTCAGGATTCGACAAAGTGGTCCATGCCAGCTTGGTATAACCAGCCCGTCTGGGCAGCTGCCATATCCATCAGTGCTAGCCCTGCACTGGGACAGACAAACCCAAGCTCCTGGCTGCGCACGTCCCCATCTGAAAGAGGCTTTGGTTGCCACTGGCAGGTCTGGGTTATTCTTATTCTCAGGGCTGGGTACAGTTCCTCTGATCTCCCCACTGAAGCTCTGTGGACAGACACCTTGTCTGTCCTATGCTTCCCATCCATCCAATAAGGTAGCACTTTTTTTACCCCCACCTAGTCTTGCAGCACGTTCTATACTAACCTACTTCTCTCTACCCCTACCAAATAGCTAACAGTGGTGGGTTCTCCTATTCCAGCCATCCAATCCCTGGGCATTTCCACACCCTCCTCATCTCATTAATATACATGCTTTCCTCTGACAGCGTTGTAGTGTGCCGTTCACTGAAAGAGAGCAAGGGTATCTAGCACATGACAAAATCACACAAATGACTTCACAACAGGACAGCATTTTAATGTTCCTGTCAAGCATACAAAAGATGTTTGTTGCCAGAGCACAGGGCCAACCAGTAGCCAAATATTTACAACTAAAGCAGAAGCTTCTTGTAGCAGGAGTCAGGGCCAGATTTACAGACCTGTGTAGGCACAATGGTCTTTAGGAAGCTATTTATTTAGGATGGTATTCAGACACGGAGGAAGGATGGGCATGGATATGATACTAGGCTAATATTTGGGAGATGAGAACTTCACTTTGATTTCCTGCTCTGCCACAGACTTCCTGTGTGCCCTTGGGCAAGTCACTGAACCTCTCTGTGCCTCAGTTTCCCATCTGTACAATGGGCATAACAGCCCTGCACTGCCTCCCAGGGGTGTTGTGAAGATAAATACATTAAAAGACTTTGAGGTGCTTTAAGATCAACTGATGAAAAGTCACTATGTAAGAGCTACAGATTTATTAATTATTATTATTATAAGTTTGCAGGTAGGCATCTAATAGGATTTAACCTCCTGAGGTGCTTTTATTGATCCCACTTGTCGTTTATTGGCATCTTTAGGTGCCTACATCCCTCTGTAAATCTGACCTTTAAACCTTCATCTTGTACAAATAATCATTTTTGGAAAAGTCAAATCACATGGAATGAGCTTTAAAACAACTACTCAGCTATTCGTGGTTTGAATCCACATGACTTTGATGTGACAAAAGGAAACTGAAATAACAGAACTAAACCTTGTTTCTTCAGCATCTGATAAGCGTCCCGGATTTTAACTTCCTGAGGAAACCAAACGGTCCAACTGAACATTATTTCTATGACTCTCGATTTGACCTTTTCTGCAGACCAGGTTCCAAGATACTGGGAAAAAAAAAGTGATTACAACCAGCAAGTTACTGTCAGTTAGGAGTCAGGGATTCTGCCCAGAACGTTCATGCTGAAAGACTGGGATGAAAATGGGTTCTCAATGCATTATTCAGAGTGCTGTCAACTGTACACCTTACAGAAGATACATATATAGCACTATAATTTATGTGGAATTGTAAGTGCTACATTATTAAATGTGTAGAATTTCATATAAATAATCTGTCACTACAAAAATAATGGCCCATTCAGTGCTGCTTTGGTCAGGTTTTACTAAATCCAGGATCAATATAAAGTATTCTTTCTAATTTGTTTTTAATTACACTGAAAATAGTTTCCTGCTTGGATTTAAACATCCCCCTTCTCCATTACAACCTAGCCAGAACCAGAGTGAAACAAACTGAAAACTGACCATATAGAAAAGTGAAACTACATAGTATGTTTTCAGTGCTCAAGTTTTATCTTTCTACACACTTGTAGGTCCCGATCACCACAGTATCTGAACATCTTGCTGAATAAAATGCAAAACCAACCAGGATGAATGGTGAAAGGTAAATGTGAGTTTTAAAATTCTTTTAGTTTCAATAATCTTGGACATTACTATGAACCCAGAGACAGACACCTGGTGTTTAAAATACGAGGCTTGATTCTTCATGACTTTACCCCAGCTGTGAACTGGGATAGCACCACTAAAGCCAGGCTTTCCTAAATCCAAACTCAACAAAAGCATTTGCTTTAACCTATTTCGTTTTTAACTACAATGAAAACAGCTTCATTAGATTTAAACATTCCCATGAAACCAATGGAGGTCATCCTCTGCCACAGAGTTGGGGTGATGCAGAGCAAACCAAGCCCATGATATTTAACCTGGCTGTGTCCCTGTAATTATTAAATAAATCATCAGGCTGAGAAAAAGGTCCCAGTTTTACTAGTTGATCCAAAGGACGGAGAGAAATGTGGCAATCATGCACAGTAAGTGATGTAAATTGCTCTCTATTTCCCACTATTGCACGAGGTATCAGTGCACTGGAGAGGTTATTCTCTCTGCATATTGAGCTTGTTTAGCATTTCAAGCTAAAATTCCTATTCCTATCGGTTACTTTTCCAAGGAGACGAACCCCAGGAAGCTGAGTGGGAGCAGGGTGTAGCGCACACCCCAAAAAGAGAGATGAGCAGCAGAGATAGCATACTGCAGAACTCAAATTAGGTCCCCCCAATCTCTCACTTGAAGCAAGTCAGGGCAGAGTCTCCAGCGCCACATTCTTCCCCAGGTTCCTCCTGAGAGTTCACAGTTCCCTATCTGGGCTCTTGGGATGTTCCCAGGGAGAGGTACCTGTGGGGCTCTCATGGGCTTGTGCTGTGTGTAGGCACTGAAGACAAGAGCCTAAGAAGAACAGTTCCAAAGGCTGGAATTTGAAGCGAGAGCAGGAAGGTGGGGGAAGGGCCTATGATACAAGGCCAAAATGTGGCCCATGAGCCACTCCTCCCTCTTACTGTGCGGGGCAAAGGGTCCAACCCAGCGAAGCGCAAGCTGGGGAATGACAAGAGCAGATTGGCTCTTCGAGGGTCACTGCCACATTGTGGTGGAGTTCAGAGCAGTAAAAAGGAGGAAAGGTCCCCCAGAAAGAGGCAACTAGGAATAAAACCTTCTGTATTTACCAACACAAGACCTGGGCCCTAGAACACCAAACACCTTCCTCACACTGGCCTTCTGGCGAAGTCTGCCAAGTTGTTCAATGCTTTCACCCCTACTCTGTACCCATCTCCCTTCCCCCTTTGAATTCTAAAGAGACGTTTCAATTATTATCCTTGTTGCTGGGAAATTCATAGCCTGTCCCCGCCATTCATTGTCCCAGGGAACCACAGCAAAACAGTCACACTCAGTTCCTATGTGGAATTGGTATGAAGTTTGCATTTTCTCATCTGCCTGCTAGATCGGGGTGGCTGGGCACTTACCTTCGGGGACAGCACTTTAATCAGTTCATTCAGAAATCTGAATTTTGCCACTTCATTGTGAAACCTTTCTCCACAGTTATTCACACATGTCTCCAGCACCTAGGACGAGGTGGGAAAGCATGAGACATAAAACAAACTTTCCAGGCAATTTTAAAACCTCTTCCATCAAGACAAAGATCTAAGAACCTGTTAGCGGCATGGACACAGATAACGGATAGTACCCTAGGTGAAACTGCTAATTAGGCAACACGTGTCATTTTTACCCACATCCATCATTCATTTTCACCCGTTTAAAACAAATGAGCAAGAGTGAACTGGCAGAGCTTCATAGGTATAAATACAGACATTGACAATGGCTAAGACATTCCCTGTCATAATCACCACACACAACATTCAGGCTGTAAGCTTCAGGGACTGAGTGGCAAAGGGAGCTGATGTGTGATGGCTTCTAACTTCCAGGAGCCAGGCTCCAAATCTGTGCTTGGCCACCGGTAGGAAAGGAGGGCAGAGCCTCAGTCTAGTCCCTGTCAAACATTTGTTCACATGAGGAAAAGCAAAAGACATTCTGGCAGAACCAGAAATCTCCGCTCAAGAGGGGCCTAGGACTGGAATAGCAAGGGGTGCTGTAAGTCAGGAATGAGGGGTGGGAGGAGCTGGGACAGATCAGATAGTAATTTGGGAAATTATATTAGATATGAAAAAAGAAAAGGAGGACTTGTGGCACCTTAGAGACTAACCAATTTATTTGAGCATAAGTTTTCATGAGCTGTAGCTCACGAAAGCTTATGCTCAAATAAATTGGTTAGTCTCTAAGGTGCCACAAGTACTCCTTTTCTTTTTGCAAATACAGACTAACAAGGCTGTTACTCTGAAACCTGTCATTAGATATGAAGGGGATTATCGAGGCATAGGGAATCACTGGGATGGGTGACGGAAACCTTACGGCTGTGAATGCACAAGGAATCCCGGTGACCAAGATGAGTGACAGGAACAGCATTACAAATTTGAACGCAGTGAAGGGTTAAAAGCGAGAAACACTAATTTTTTTAAAAAGCGGTAGACACAAAAATCTACCACAAGAGATACATTTCCAGTTTATCCCAGCCCATGTCTGTGTGCTGATGAAAGCACTCACTGTTAAGGCATGAAGAGCTTCCATCTCCTGAGGCGACTGTATCTTATGCGCTAGCAGTCTGGGTGCAATGGACGGGCTAGGGAGAAGAAGCAGCAAGTCAGACCAGGCAGGAAGTCTCAGGAAAAGCAAACACGGCGACTTTTCATGCAAAGAAAAGGGCAGTTACCATGTTCACAGACACACAAATCGGGGGTTGGACTAGGTGACCTCCTGAGGTCCCTTCCAACCCTGATATCCTAGGATTCTATGACCGCATCACAGCAACCCTCCCCTTGGCACAATGCTGGGATTATACACCCAAGAAGTAAGGAAGAGATTAATGCAGGCCAGGAAGCCAGAAGTGTCCCGCAAGTGCTGATTACTGCTGCTCTAGGAGCTGTCCCCTGCAATGGAAAAGGGGGGGGAGGGAGAGAGGGAGCGGTGTATTCTTTGCAGAAGCATCACACCAACTGGGTCACTCAGCATTTAGCAGAAGTGCTCCACTTTGCTGTTCATCACGGCTGGCCCTTTGGCTCAAAGTCTCCCACAGCAGGAATGTTCATTAGACAACAAGTGCAAGTTCTACAGACAGAAATTGTGAGCATCTGCTCAACAGAAATGCTAGCTCAGGGACCTTTATCAGCCCTTTTACTCAGGGCTGTCCCTAGCTATTCTGGGGCCCTACACAGCCTCCGCCGGAGGGGGGCGGGGGAGAGCGGGAGGGCTGTGGGCCCAGCCCCACTGCAGAGCTCAGGGCAGTAGGGGCGGGGCAGAGCAGGGGCCCTGGTGAAGAGCCAGAGCAGGGGCTGGAGCAGCACGCAGCTGCATCCTTTTTATAGGTAAGGACGGCCCTGCTTTCACTTTATCAGTGCGTACGCTTTGCTGCATATTGGAGACAATCCCATGAGCTGCAGGGGTGGGGAAAGCCCGGGTGGAGACCTCACCTCCCAGAGAACAGCAGCTAACGCCACACCAATAGCTACGGACGCTCAGGTCTTCTCTGAAACACAGCCCAGAAGAAACCAGCATCCCACTCATGGCACAGGGATGGGATCTGACCACCTCTGAGACCGTGAGGGGGAGAAGGTGCAGGCTCGTGCTAAACGAAAAGTCCTTTCCTCTAGATCTGCCATGTTACCACAATGTCGCAATAATCTGGCCACTCTTTATCTACCCACTTCTTGCACAGGCATCTCCAGGAGTCACAGAAATTAGCCACTCCCTGCCATTCCTCCTAAGGTTTTACAAAACTGCAATTTACAGATTATCCTTTCCCCTCTGAGATCAGAAAAGCTCAGAGCCAGATGCACAGTGCAGAGAGAATACAAAGAGTCTTTCTGTCCAGCTTACCCTTCCGGGTCTGCATTCACCTGGTCACAGAACCGCTGGATACATTCCCAGTTTTCTTCAGAGATGCTTGGGTCCGTGGCTTTATCTTACAGGGAAGAGAACAAAAGATCATCTCAGTGTGAGATGTATACAAGTGACTGACTGATGAGACAGTTCAAAATACATTCTTCCCCACTGCAATTCCTCCAGGCTCCATACTCACTCCCACTGGACCAGCTGCTCCAGAACTGTTATCAAACAGGCAGAACTGCTGGTTAATACAGGGCTGGACTCACAGCATCACTGGGACTAACACATACAAGTCTCAGACAATCATTAACTATGAGGCAGATGTTAAAGTCGTGATATTACCCTTTGCAGAAAGAGGTGGGGGCTATTAAACTCCCAGAGGTGTTGGACAGGCTTCTGCCCCCTACCTAGGGCCCATCTATGGACAGTTACATTACATTCAGCTATGTGCCCTCAGGGCAGTCTAGGCACCTTCCAAGCTCATCCAGACTGTTCTCCTTTCTCTCGCTGCCTGATTTCTTTCTGGCGTGAGTGGGTGCCACCCAGAGATGTCAACCAGGTCGCACCTACTTAAACCAGTGATTAATTTGGCCCCCATCGTCTAGGGGAATGTGACAGCAGCTGGATTCCAGCAGTACCACATTTCTGGGAGATGAAGTTTGCTTTAATTAAAGTTCCAAAATCATAGAAGATCAGGTCCTCTAGTCCCACCCCCTGCTCAAAGCAGGGCCAATCCCCAATTTTTTCCCCAGATCCCTAAATGGCCCCCTCAAGGATTGACTTCACAACCCTGGGTTTAGCAGGCCAATGCTCAAACCACTAAGCTATCTCTCCCCTTCAGTGCAACAGATGTAAACCAAAGACAGAGGATAGATCCCTACGCTGAGGAACATTCCCTGGCTAATCATGATACCATCCTTTGCATTTGGCCCAGAAAAGCCGGACTGTACACTCAACTCAATGGCCCTTCTCTGTCTGTAATGCAGCAACTTTTGAAAACCACATCTGATGTATTAAAACATTTCAGAGAATACTCAAAGTATCAATGGTCAGAACCCTATAAATTCTGGTGAAAATCTGAAAGCCAGAAAAGCCTGATTTCCACTAATCAAACTGTTTTGATTTCGCCTGGATCCGGGCGCGAAGCAGTGACCTCAGGGTTAGATTTAGGGCTAGGGCACCAGACTCCTTGGCCTACAGCAAAACACAGGTATTCTATGAGCCTGATTCTAGTGGACAGCAGGCTGCTGAAAGCCTCTTGCATCCCTCCACCAGGCATATGGTGACCAGTCAGCAAGTGTGAAAAATCGGGACGGGGGTAGGGGTAATAGGAACCTATATAAGAAAAAGACCCCAAAATTGGGACTGTCCCTATAAAATCAGGACATCTGGTCACCCTAACCAGGCAGCCCCCTCCGGCGAGCCCTTTCCCCGCACTCCGGTCTGACCGCCCCCTGGGGCCAAAACAGGCATACAGCTCAGCCTACATAAACAACCAGGTGTGAGGCCTTTTCATTTGTTAATTCTCCTCACAATTGTTTCCAGTGCAGACTGTTCACAGCTACACTTTGCAGGGCTCATGGGTGACTCAGATTTACAATAACTGTGGGGTTGCCTCAGGTTTCCGGGGGATGTATGTGAAAACGAAACGGCTTAAGATGATCAAGCAAACACATGTTGCCCCTTCATTACAGCCCCAGTCCCAGGGAGCCGGGTATTTGCAGAATGGCCATTGTCGCTAAATGCCTTAGCACAAGGCTGCATTTTACAACCTGACACTTAGTGAGACAGGCAATATATGCCGAATACCACAGCCTTTGGATAACACCACTGTGACTACACTTTGATCAGGAATTGCTTGAACAAAACTTATACCCATAGGTCTCGCTCTAGCAGTAGTTTAAAATGCTGGCCTTGCACCTCCAAGGTCTGTGATAGGTGTTACAGGAAAACTTAGACAGCTTTGAAAACTAGCCCCACAAACAGCTAAATGGAATTTTAAAATCAAATAGTCAGGTAGCTGCTGTTTGACGGTCCGCTGTGTCGTGGGCTGTGCAGCAGTTTCCACCTCATTCTAAGCTATTCAAAAAGCCCAAAATTGATACATCATTAGCTCACTATTTCTCCCCCTTCTCTCCCCTGTCCTAGTATTTAATTCCTGGCCCGAGGGTGGAAAGTCTGAGAACTCCTTTCCCATTACTGAGCTGTTCCCCTGTCACCAAGATGAGGTGCTACTTCCTCATTCTGCTCTGGGCAGCCTGCTCAGATGGTCTTTGCCTGAGCAGTTACTTGTTTGGAAATGGTGACCCTTCCAGGGAGCACTGCACTCAGCGCCTAGCTGAGAGCTAGGCTACATGGCCGTGCTGCTCGGCACAGCTGCACTGGTGTGAGATGACAGAGGTGGAAGCTATGTCAGCGGAGCGTGTCTCCCAGCAACATAGTGCCAATGTGGGCGGCACTTAGGTCGCTGTAACTTGTGTCGCTCAGGGGGTATCTTTTTCCCACCCCTGCGCGACGTAAGTTACATCCACGGAAGCGGTAATGTAGACAAGCCCGAGACTGTGCCCGCTCTCCCAGACCGACACAAAAGAGAGAATGCTGCTTTTTGTCTCCTGCTAGGGGGCTGAGCAAAGGGGGTGCGAACTAGGCTAACTTTATCCCACCATAACTCCAGTGAAGCCAGAGGGGTTTGCCCAGGAGGGACCGTCAGGGCCTGCTCCTCAGGAGGTGGCTCTGCCCAGCCCCTTCTCGGTGAGACATACTTGGAGCTCTACCCACTGCAGGGCAGCGACTGTGAACCCCCTTTGCCAAGCCCGTTTTACCCAGGCCTCCCTGTCTCCTGCTCCAGGCCTGCAGCAAGGGACTTAGGGGGCAATGGAAAACCAGGCAAGCAACCAATTCCGTACGGAACCTGCAACCCTGGGACATCCATTGTCCATCTGTCCGACCTGCCCACTCCCCAGGGCACCCAGTCCGTCTGTCTGACCCCCCCCCCGGGGCACCCAGTCCGTCTGTCAGACACCCCCCCCCGGGGCACCCAGGCCGTCTGTCAGACACCCCCCCCCGGGGCACCCAGGCCGTCTGTCCGACCCCCCCCCCGGGGCACCCAGGCCGTCTGTCAGACACCCCCCCCGGGGCACCCAGGCCGTCTGTCCGACCCCCCCCCCCGCGGGGCACCCAGGCCGTCTGTCCGACCCACCCCGCCCACTCCCAAGGGGGCACCCAGGCCGTCTGTCCGACCCCGCCCCCCCGCGGGGCCCCCAGGCCGTCTGTCCGACCCCGCCCCCCCCCGCGGGGCCCCCAGGCCGTCTGTCCGACCCACCCCGCCCACTCCCAAGGGGGCACCCAGGCCGTCTGTCCGACCCCCCCCCCTCCCCGCGGGGCCCCCAGGCCGTCTGTCCGACCCACCCCGCCCACTCCCAAGGGGGCACCCAGGCCGTCTGTCCGACCCCCCCCCCGCGGGGCACCCAGGCCGTCTGTCCGCCCTGCCCCGCCCCCACCCCGGGGCACCCAGGCCGTCTGTCCGACCCCGCCCCCCCCCGCGGGGCCCCCAGGCCGTCTGTCCGACCCACCCCGCCCACTCCCAAGGGGGCACCCAGGCCGTCTGTCCGACCCCCCCCCCCCGCGGGGCACCCAGGCCGTCTGTCCGCCCTGCCCCGCCCCCACCCCGGGGCACCCAGGCCGTCTGTCCGACCCGCCCCTCCCCGCGGGGCCCCCAGGCCGTCTGACCGACCCCCCACCCCGGGGCCCCCAGGCCGTCTGTCCGACACCCCCCCGCGGGGCCCCCAGGCCGTCTGTCCGACACCCCCCCGCGGGGCCCCCAGGCCGTCTGTCCGACACCCCCCCGCGGGGCCCCCAGGCCGTCTGTCCGACACCCCCCCTCCCCGCGGGGCCCGGCCCGCTCCGCTACTCACGGAGCCAGAGCTCCAGAGCCCCCAGCGCCGCCCCAGCCATGGAGACTCGCCCGGCCCCGGCCGCGGCCGCCGACGCAGCCGCCGCGCAGGGAGGCGGCGCCCGACGGGCCCGGCCCCCGGCCCCGCCCAGAGCCGCGGGGTCCGCGCCCCGCCTGCAGCCGCCTCTGGGGCGGGGCACGCTGCGGGGGCAAGGACGCGGCCGGCGGGAGGTCCCAGGCCCTGCTGCGGGGCGGAGACCGGCACCTGCCCGCGGCAATGCGGGCGCCCCGCACGCCCAGCCCCGCAGAGCCCCTGCTAGCGACCCGCCAGCGGCCGCCGCGTACACACTGGAGGAGCCTCCGTCGCCCGCGGGCTTTGGCCGACAGGGGCAGTCCGTGAAGTACAGCCCCCCACGGCAGGGCTTGACCTCGGTCCTCGGGCCCGCTCCTGGCCGGCCTGGGCTGGGACCCGCGGGCTCCGTAAGGAAGGCTCCAGCCGCACCTCAGCTCAGGTCTGCGCTTCAGTCACCCCCGCATCACAGCAGGGAGGGCACAAGGAAATTTGCAACACCCCCCCCCCTCCTCTAATGATTCGCAAACCACAACATCTGTCAGTGACAGCACACACAGCAGGCCTCCCCCCGCCGAGAGCCCCACACTTTGAACATGGAACATTCCCAACCCGCTCGACTCCATGAGCCCCCTTTCCTGGCGGACTAAAAGTGCACTTCTCCCAAGGCTTAACCCTGAACATACAGCTCAGATCTCAGCATATTTTTGGAACATGTTTGAGTGGCCATCCCTGCTCTAAGGAGCAAGTATTAAATCTGTGAGATACACTCAACTTAGTTCCAGGCTTTTCAGAGTAACTACATTCAATTTAAAAAGAAAAGGAGGACTTGTGGCACCTTAGAGACTGACAAATTTATTAGAGCCTAAGCTTTCGTGAGCTACAGCTCACGAAGTTGCATCCGATGAAGTGAGCTGTAGCTCACGAAAGCTTATGCTCTAATAAATTTGTTAGTCTCTAAGGTGCCACAAGTACTCCTTTTCTTTTTACGGATACAGACTAACACGGCTGCTACTCTGAAACCTATATTCAATTTGTCGCACTTACACTTGTGTTGACTTCAGAACAAAATGGGGCCCATCATTATTTATCCACAAGGAGTAGACTCGCATATGTTTAAAATGCAACATTTGGCCATCGAGGGGGAGCACACAGTAACTTAATGTTCCCAATGTACAGTTCTTGAAAGACCTGGGCACTTCCCCACCTTAGATGCACTGAAAGACACTGCTGAAAGAAGGCCACAGTAAAGCAGTTACAGATTTTTATGATAGGAAAGAGTTACACACTCACGTCACATTTAGACACAGCTGTACAAATGTACATGTTTTCTCTGCTGCGTTAATGGGGTGGGGGGTGGGAAGGCAGGTAGGATGACCTGCAAGGAAAGGATCCAGCATCCCCAATTTCATGTCAGGATGAAAGTGCTTTTATCCAAAAAAGGGGCTTTAAAAACCAAATTGCTAACTGGACATGACGATGTGCACTGTAATACTCTAGCACAGAAACTGCTGTTTGTTATCTTTTCCTGGGTCCAGTTCAAAAACAAAAATATCAGGGACTTTTTTAAAAAGTAGAATTAAGTATTCATGAAAAATGTGGGTTACAGTGCTGGAAAGAAAAGTCCTTGCATCACCCACAGAACAGAGACAGTGAAAAGTGTACACTTCTCTCACACAACAGTCCCCACCAACATGCATCAAGCCAGACCTGGAAGGGCACTTTGTATGGCTGAAGGGATCAAATCTACATTGCCCATTTACATGTGACCTCTCTGCTCAGATTGCCAACTGGGGGCTAATTAGCGTCAGTTGCGATGGTTTCTGGATCATGTGGACACAGCTTCAAAAAGAGATCACCATGCTGTGGCTTATGGGAAATCAAACAGCCATCAGAAGTAACCACTTTCAGTCACTGCCAAGCTAGGCTGGACTTGAACATACAGTTAAGATGAAGGACTCCATATCCCAATCTGAATGTCAGCCTGGTCCCACAAGACGAAGACAATGAAGCAGATCTGAATTCAGTTGCACCCCTTATATGAACTAGGTTATGCCTCATGAAGACACACAGATCTTCAAGTGTGCTGACAGCACTCTCACAAATTCAGCATGGTATAAGGCCCAGTTCCTGTGAAATACTGTGACCACAGAATTTAGGCTGCAGTACTGAAGAACACATAGGACTCGGAAGGGGAGTGCTGTCTGCTGGAGCCATTCCTTCTAGGAAGCTTCTTGCTAGTTGGAAAGCACCTTCTTTATCCGTTCACACACTTCTCTAGGTCCCAAGGAAACCATCATCTCAGCCACGCTTGGTCCGTGCTGAAAACACACACAAAAGACACTGCACACACTCTGTTGTTCTACTCACATTCCCACACGGCGCTCATCACAACACTATCAGAACTTGGAGTTTTTTATGTTTTTCCCTTGGTAACATCCAGTGGGTACAAGTCTGTATCACTCTGTACTGGAGATGACTGAATGATGAGTTGTTAGTCACCTGCGATTAAAATACGCTGAAATTTCTAATACAAGACTCTGGTTCTGTCATCTTGGAAGAAAAGTCCCCAACATCAGGCCAACTTCTCTGCTGGGGTAGCGCCATCAAACTCAAAGCAGTTATGCCATGAGAGAACTCGCCCTGCTTTTTAACCATCATTTTGGACCAAATGAGGAATTTATTCTTGGTTACATTATGAACCATGACACACCCAAAAGCTGACAATGCCCCTTACGAACAAGCCAGCTGCCTTTCCAACCACAGGTTTGCAGCTCTGGGGGGATGGCTTGGTACTTCTTGCCTCTCTTAGCATCCCTCTCTGCCAAGGAGCTTTTTCACATTAGCACATTCACTTATTACAGAAACTGAGGAAAACACACACAAGGTTTAGCACCCAAAAGCCTGTCTTGTGACCAGAGAGCAGGCTGTTATTACTGGATGGGAAGGTCTCAACTTCAAATGGCTTTTACCTGCTGTCCACTGAGGGCCAAGCGGAGGAGTTTCATCATGCTGCTGTATTTGGTCCCTCTTGTCTGCTCCTGTAGGCCTCTCAGGTCTTCATTCAACCCTTCTGTAGTCAGGGCAGCAGTCTGCCCTTCCATCAGCCTTTGGGAGAGAAGAAGCCCTCTCAGTCCAGTGACACGTGGAAGTGAGGAATTCCCGCTGACATTAGGAGCTGCCACAAATGACCCTTTTGCACACAAGCAAACTATTGCTTTTAGGAAGCTAAGCACTACCTCAGCAGCACCAGGAAAACAGTTAGCTCAGATAGGCAACGGATTACAAAATGATGCCAGAGATCTGGAAAACCACATGCCTGATCAGACATTTTTTACACGGACATGATCTCTAGAGGAGTCAGGGACAGGACCTGTTACTAATGTTACCCCAACTATAAGAGCAGGCCCAGTGTGCTCTGCATGTTAGCTGGATGTTTCTCCTGACATTTGCATTGCCATTGTTAAGGTTCAGTAACAGGCAGCTTGCACCTCTCAGAGGTCCTGTTTCCAGCTGTCTGTCAAGGGTCTGCAGACATCACTGCATCAGTTACGGTCAAAATCACTGCATCAGTTATGGTCCTGCTACTCTGAAACCGGTCAAAATTTAGCTTTCAGCACAACTGCTAGTCTCGGCTCAGAAGAGGCCCTTGGTCCAGAGTAGCAGGGTTTGCTGAAGGTTGGAACTGAGTTCTGGGGAATCTAGGATCCGAATTGCAGATGACTGTGCAGGTCCATATTATGATGGCTTAGCAGAGCTGGGAGAAGGAGATTTAGGGGTGGAAGAGAGGGAGGTACAGGTCAGGGCTGAAATGCACTGGCAGAGCTGTGTGAAGGCCAGAGGCATAAAGTAAAGGAGATAGTGCACAGCAGAAGCGGTATGGCCTGTCCTCCATCGCAGCACTGTTTCTGAACAGAGGACTGTGGCACACTAGGCGGAAATGCAGACATGGAAACAGCAGAGGTCCCCTCCAGGAACTCCAGAGGTGACAATTATTTAGATTAGCTGAGAATTCATGTAGAAGTTTACAGTTTATCACACTGGTCTCTTGGCATTCTGCAGGCCACAAGATCCCAGATTAATTCCAGACAAACACCCTGGTCATTTTGTTAATAATCAGAATTGTTTTGAACATCCTCCTGCACGTGAAAGTTTGAGCCAAACCTTCCTGGATTCTTGAAAGTTAGAGACTACAGTTGGTGAATTGCACCACAGGTAATTGCAACACGCTTTGATACACCCCACTGTGAAACTGGAGTAAATCAGAGTGCACTAGGGAACTTTTAGAGCGCAGAAGCAGGGTCCACATGGACAGCTAGTGTGCACAGGCTACTGTGAGGTAGACTTACACCCCAGCTTGCTGTGCGCTAACTGTTCATATACATAAACCCTCCATACAAGACAAGAGATGGACAGACAGACAGACTGCTGCAGGGGGACGAGTAAACAATGAGACCCTACCAGTCAGCATGAGAGGCAGTGATCTCTGAACACCAGCTGCCTAACAGGGTTTGTTGGCATCTCGGCAGAGGAGTTTTAAGGAGACTGGAAAGTGGCATGGAGGTAGTTTTGTGGATGTTTACAGAGAGTGCCCCCCATGCACCTGGGGCAGCGTGGGAGAAAGCACAAAGGTGCTTGTTTGAAAATGTAACAAGTGGGTGATAGAGGCTGGTTTCATGGGCTGACTGGAGGTGAGCATCAAGTGCGGCCGAGAGAGGATAGGGAGGGTGAGGACTGAATGTGAATGCGTTTAGCCTCTTGATGCACACTAACTACAGCATGTTTTCAAGAGTTTGTGTCTGATGCCAGCGCAGAATGAGCAGCAAGACCAGCTGGAGGGGGCAGGCGGGAGAGAAGAGAGCAGGGAAGAGACACTTACCCTATGACTAGCTTTCCTATCTCATCTACTTCTGCTGAAATGGTTTGCAGCTGCTCTCGGGACACTGAGGGCCTGACCCATAAGTAAGAATACTCAGGCGCCACCAAGTTCTTCAGGCGGCTTATGTGACCCTGCGGGATGGAAAGAAGGTCTGTCAAGATCGGGCAGCTCAGGGAGAGAAAAGATGAAGTCTATTTCCAGCTAGATGTCAGGGTGACAAAGGGGTCATTCACCACTGTTCTGCACTCTCACCAGTTCAGAGGGCGGAATGCTGACACTTGGCTTGTGTAGCATTTTACACCCACTTGCCACTGGCATAAATGACGATGCAAGTGCTGGGCAACAATGAGTCAGGGACAACGAGCCTCCGTAACAGGCCAGCGGTCGAGCAAGCAGGCTGAGTCAGAGCAGCACTCTGCAAATGACTCCCCCTGACATTAACTCGCTGATTCACTGAGGGCAGAAGCAGGAAGTCACATGAGTAATTTTATATTTGCTGCCATAGTGAAACCACATTTTCAAGAGCCACAGTATTTCCTGCCTTTATTAAAGCAAGAGTGTGCAGTGACCCCCAAACCTGCAGTGATCTCATGGGGCTGGAGTGTAGGAACCATGCGGCCTTGCTCATGTAGCAATAGGCAGGGCCATCATCCCCTCTGCTCCCACCTCAAGCCTTGCTTTGCCACCTCCTTTTAGACCAGGGCTCTGGATCAAGGAACGCTCTTGATTTAACCACAAAGTCCCACACTGACATAGCTGGAGACGTGCTCTCTCCATTTAGCCCCAGAACAGGCAGAAGGTAGGCAAGCTTCCCCAACTGCCTAGCCAACGAGCCCTGAAGATAACCAATCTCCTGGGGCAAGAGAAGGCCCATTCAGTCCTGATGAATCAGTCACATCTGATGAAGTGAGCTGTGGCTCACGAAAGCTCATGCTCAAATAAATTGGTTAGTCTCTAAGGTGCCACAAGTACTCCTTTTCTTTTTGCGAATACAGACTAACACGGCTGTTCCTCTGAAACCATTCAGTCCTTGGTCTCTCTGCTGAGACCACCATCTGTGATGGGGGCTTGGTGATAGAAATGGCTGCTCACTACCCAGCAAGGTCATTTTGGATAGACACGCAGGTCTGCAAAGATAGTGGAGATGCTTGGAGTGTCATACCTGCAACTTGGACTGACTCCACAGCTCCATATTTTGGTATTAAGCAGGGATGCAGGTGCCTGGCAGGATGGGACCTCTCACTGTTTGTGAGGCCTTCGAGCTTTAGCTCTCAAGTTCTAGCATTGCCCAGAACCCAGCTGGGTCACCTGCAGAGCTTCTGCCCTCCCAACTCTCTACTCCCCTCCCAAAGGGCACCATAGCTTTAATGCTGGTCATACTTTTCTCAGTAGGAGGACTCGCTCCACATAATCCTTCTCTAAAACCTCTCTGTCCACAAGCCGATCACCATAGACCTGCTCCACCTTCATCTGCAGCTCCGTCACCAGCTTTCGTCGTACCCTCTCATCTCCAATCTGCTGGACCAGGTGAATCCTGCACAGAAGACAGAACCATCCGAATGGCTACAGACCTCTTTGGCTTAGACTCAGACTTATGAACGTCATTATACAGTGTTTACAAAATAAACCCATAGAATCATTTAGAAAAATCAACATTACAGTGAGTGTAAATATTCAACAATCCTTAACACATGGCTCTGGGAGAAGGTGGGGCACTTCACAGAGGTACACCATTAACAATGATGATTAAAAAAAAAAAATAATAATTTTTAAAAAGTAGTTTCTCACCCAGACTTAAGTCCTTGCATTCCTCTCACAACATGGCCCATCTAGCTAGGCCTTCCTACCATGACCACCACCATAGTATACAAGCTCCTGGCACATGAATGCTAGTGTTATTTAGGAGGTTGGCTCAATTCCCCCCATTTGGTATCTATTTGCAGAATGGCGGATTTCAGAGCCTTGCGCCATCAGGTTAAAGAGGAAGGGAGCCACTGCACTGAACCTTCCAGTGGGTGCAATGGGCAGGACGCTTATATGGAGCTGCTGAAAAACTATTTGCTTTACAGTAGATGGAGTGGGGCTCAAGGGAGAAAGGAACCCCAACAGTGGAGAATACAGAGAAGAGGTCATGACTGGAACAGCAGGCCAGGGGAGCAGGTGGACAGAGTCATTAGGTGAAGCTAAGTCCATGGAGGGCAATTTTTAGAGTTGGTTGGAAATGAATAAGGTGCTACACCCAATTGTCATACCTGTTGAATTCTAGGAGTTTGTCAAGATCCAGCAGGGCTGAGTGGGTGGTAATTCTGCCCACATCAAACTCCAAGATCAGCTCCTCCAGTGTCCTGCCCATCTGATTGCCTGCAAAATAACCCAACAATGGCATCATGCATTCACTCCCATGGACAGCTAGTATCACTGCTGCTCATCGTAACCAAGGAAACAGTGACACTGCAGGGTCTCGCTGCACCTGCTCAGTGCCAACACAGAGCAGGGAACTTTCTTAAGAGAAAGGCAGAGCCCTCACGGCAAGATTTTGCGCGATGCCCGTCTCGTCCTGAGAACAGACTCTGCCAACTTTTCTACCAAGTCCCAGCTACAGGCAGTGCCCAGGGAGTTCCTGCTGTTTTAAAGGGGTGACACTGAATGAAGTATTTCAGTAGACGTGCCGTTACCTGACTAATAATTTCCCCTGTATCTCTAACACCTGCCCATGCAGCAGTCGGCCTGGAAGTGCCAGTGCAGGGTACCCGGGCCATTTAACAGCAGCACTGAATTGTTACGAAGGTGGGGGGGAGGGTGCGGGGAACACTGATTCAGAGCATTACTGCGGAGCTTCATAGAACAATACTGCATCCCCCATGCATCAGACAGCCTGGAGAGGCCCTGTGAGTGGTTGGAACCAGGGACTTTTCCCTCTGGCTTTTTGCTGTTCTGATTCAGTTCTTAAAGAGAAATCATCCTCACGTTGCTCAACCCAGCAGCAAAAGTGTTCAGAGGCAGAAAGTTTCATCCCCTGGGAAGGGGTTAATTTGCAGTGGGGTTCCTAAGCCACACATAGGAAGTGCTGTCTTGCTGAGACATGAGACTGTTTGTGACTCCTGCAAAATGAGAATCTGAAAGGAAGTGACTGGCCCAGCTTCCCATGGACTTTCAGGTTAAACAGGCAGGGGAAAATCTTTAATGTAGTGTTTTAACTACTAATCAGAGAGCAGAAGTGTCCCCAACAGTCCCCAGAGCAGCTGCTGCTCTCCTGACACCCCACCTCCAACTCTTTTCATTTTACAATGAAGCTGGTGCTGAATGGACAGTCTTGGGGACTGAAATCCTCTAGTGTGGGGAGCAGAAGGGCAAGCTTTCCCCAATCCACCCCACCCATGCTTTGGAGGGACCACCTCCATAACCCATTCCCTCTCTGCTGAGACTGTCACCAGGTGGCCGTTAAGATCTGGACCTCTGCCCACTAGGAACTGGACTGAATTTTAAACAGCTCCCCAGAGGTATCCTGACCCTCGTCACTCTTGGGGGAACTTTAGAGGAGCTGGCAGCATTTTGATTGTAGAGACCCCTTCTGAGACCTTCCTTTTTGACCCCCTCCAAAGAGAGCTCAGAGAGTGCTGAAACATTAATACACCAAACCTTTCCACAAGCAGCAAACGTGTCAAGTAACCAGACCTTGGGGCAGCTCCCAGTGAGTCACGCCTGTCCCCAAGTACCTGCAAATCCAGAGCCGCAGTTGGTGACAATGTCCAGTAGAGCTTCCGGCAAGCAGCCATCTTGAACAAAATGTTCTAGAAAAATGTCTCCCTGCCTTTTGGACAGTTTACTGCCATCTTTGTTCAAGAGCAACGGAAGGTGGCCAAACCGAGGAGGGTCCCAGCCAAAGGCTCTGTAGATAAGAAGGTGCTTGGATGTTGAAGTAAGCCACTCAGTTCCACGGAGAACGTGGCTAATTCCCATGTGATGGTCATCCACCACATTTGCCAGGTGGTATGTGGGGAAGCCATCCCCTTTTAAGATCACCGGGTCACCTTCCACAGTAGCCACTTCATGCTTGCTCCATCCATAGACCAGATCATGAAAGGGCTCCACACCTTCCTTCAAACGGAAGCGGACCACGTAGTCAGAGCGCTGCGACAACTTCTCAGCCACTCGCTCTGAGCTCAAGTGTCGGCACCTGTTGTCATACCTTTTGGGACAGCAGAGCAATGGTCTTGGTTCAGTACCACTGGCAAAAGGTCAGCTTTTTCTATTCTAGTCTGGATCCTGAGTTCTAATCTCAGCTCTGGCAACAATTCACTCAGGGCTGGGTCAAGTCTCACCTCTATGCCTCAGCCCCTCGTTCTGTAAGGTGGGGATAATGTTTATCTACTTACACGCCTCACTGGGAGGGTGGGGGATTGAGAAGTTTGATCAGTTAATGTGTGTAATGCTCTTTAGAGACAGTAGGTGATATATAAATGTTAAACATGGTCATTTAGGCTAGAGACTGGGACGTTCCCTTCAACAACAAGATACATTTGGAGCTAAAGCCAAAGTGACAAGTAAGAGCTCTGATTATTCTGAGCTGTTAATGCCTTCAGTGCCCCCGCAGCTGGGCAGCTGGTGTCTTGGATCCCAATGCCAGAGACTTCTTCACTGGTTCTGCATGCACACACTCCACAGGAAGCCCCCCTACCGTGGTGTCTGACGATTCCGTAGCGCATCCTTCTTCAGCAGTTCCAGGCGCTGAGGGGTGCAAAAGCAGCGGTAGGCAGCACCATTCTCCAGAAGAAACTTGCTGGCTTTCTTATACAGCTCAAGTCTGAGAGACTGCTGGTAGGGTCCGACCGGGCCTCCTTTGCGAGGGCTTTCATCAGGTGGGATACCTGGAATGCCAGATTTATGGGATTTAACAAACTCTCAGTCCAAGGTAAAGTCTGATGATAGAGCATTCAACAGGGATCAGAAGGCAGGAGTTTGTAGTGTGTCCACAGAGCACACTGCTCACTCGCAGCCTGGGACTCTACCTGGTGAACTCTAGAGGAATCTTCCAGAGCCATCAATAGTGTTAGCGTTTATAGCAGGGGTGGCCAAACTGTGGCTTGCAAGCCACATGCAGCTCTTTTACAGTTAAAATGCGGATCGCGGAGTCCCACCCCATTCTCCACCTACCGGACTTGGGGTGGATGAGAGAGCTTGGGACCTCTGTCTTGCAGGAAGGTGGTGGAGTAGGGGCTTCTGCCCAGTGGGGAAGGGGGTCTCGGGAATTCAGTCCTGCGAAGCATGCCTTCTGGGGCTCAGGACTTCAGCAGGAGCGGGACTGAAGCCCTGAGCCCTGGCCGGTGCCTCCCGCAGGGCAGAAGCCCTGAGCCCCGGCAGACCCACCCTGGCTCTTGAACTTCTGAAGATTGTCAGACTCGGCTCAGAAGGTCAGTAAGTTTGGCCACCCGTGGTTTATAGTCTCTTTCAGGTTTCCAGCCTCTGGTAGGTCAGACCATGATAAACTGGCAAATACTTGAGCAGGTCCAATACATTTCAAGTAGCCGAGTGTGAAGTATGTAAGTGTGGCTGCCCGCACTCACCTTCCTCTGGTAAGTTACACTATCTTCACAGAAATGCAGCTGAGATTTTAGGACCCATTATTTTCTCTACTGTAAAGTGATTCAATTACCAGAGTACTCGGAATTCTAAACATGCAAAATAGAATTAACAGTAACACCGTCTTCTCAAACGTTCACCATCAATGCATCTTTAACACTCATCCAAGCACAAAAAGAGGCAAAGGATGCAGCCCGGAGACTGGTGTGTACACAGATGAACAACCATCTCTGAATCTTATAAGACATGTCACAGAACCCTTTTTTGCAAATGACATGCACGCACACAATTTATTAACTCATGCTGAGTTCTCTCAGTTCCAACTCCTGGTCTTTTTGCCAACCTCCCACACACCTGTTTGGTAGGGATGCATCTCTTTCCAGATAAACATCCATGGTCCTTCTGCACAGGATAACCAAAGGACACTCACCTAATCATTAGCTAAAGTCTTACTACAATAGGACCCTTCTGGCTCCTAGCCCTTTGTGATAACCACTCAATATATTGAATAGCAAGGAAGAGTGCTGATGGGATTTTGAATTTTAGAGAGGTTCTTTTTAATAGTAAAACTCTTCATGGTGTAGATTGTTTCAGTAGTTAAGAAGTGAAGTGTATAGACTTGGAAGTTACCTGCCCAATCCAGCATATCCTCTATTCCTTCCGCAGCCCCAGCCACAATGCGACTTTGATCCGTATCTTCCAGTCTCAAGATAAAAGTCCCTTGGTTTTTTCTAGCAAAAATGTAATTGTACAAAGCAGTGCGAAGGCCGCCCAAGTGCAGAAAGCCTGGGTTATAAGAGCAAAAGCAGAGTAAGTCAGGTCAAATTAGATACAATCGACAAAAGAAGTTTTTCAACAGGAGCTGTAAACTATTGTTTATGATGGCATTTCACACATTATTACACCTGAACAGCACAGAGAAACACCAAACGGCTATGCAGACCATTAAAGCTCTGTCTACACTAGAAAACTGAAGCACTGATGACTGGTTTTCAGAAATGGCTTCCTTGAGCTGGTGCTGAATACGATTTAAATGACAGTATCCACTGGAGAAAGCCATTCTCAAAACTCTTTCAGATGGCATGATTAGCTTCTGTCTTCCTCTCCAAAACACTGAAGAGTTTTGTGTGGTCTGCACTCTCACTTACACAGGTTTCAGTACTGGTTAGGGGATCTAATATTGAAAATTAGCAGCAGCTGTTCAATGTCCTACTAGACAAGTCTTTAAAGAGTAAATATGCAACCTGAGGGTCAACAGCAATGGCCTAGTAAAGGCAGGATGGACTGTGTGATCACAAGAGCCTGCACAGATTGCCAACTCGCCCCAAGCATTTGCCAGTTTGTAATGATCCTACCCTCTCGGAGCTGAGGCCATTAATCAGTGCTTCTCATTGCAGCAGAGGAAATTGCCCTTTATCTTATTTATCTGGGAGACCTGTATGGCTGGAGCAGAACACTGCAAGATCTGCTCCTGACTTGGCATACAACATACCCATATGCAGTTTAACTGATCACTAATGCAACTAATTTCAAAGTGTGACAAGACAGATCTATTAAGGGACAATGTCACAGTTTGGTGTAAAACGTACTTTTTTAAAAGAGGTATTTAAAATCTTTTGGGAGCCTTCACAGATGAAAGGATGTAAATGTCAGGTATCACCTATAACAGAAGTGTTTTTATGAATGTTCAGTTTCAGTTGAGAGGGTTTCCCCTGCAACCCACATTAAACAGACCCTTGTAGCAAGCTACAAAAGAGAACCTGAAAACAAAAAGGACTAAAAACAGACCAGTATATTTTCACTGGGAGAGAGTGCTAATTCTGAGCATACAGAACTAGCCATTTTAGGTTCCATTATTACAAACCACTCCGCATTGACACACTGAAGTCCATGGGGCTCTGTACAGGCTGAGGGGCCCAAATTTGTCAGATTGTGTCCATTATTTTTAAGGCACCTATTCCTGTGACACGGAAGTGCCAGCTGGTAGATGGAGTTCCATTCTCAGATCCGTCACAGACACAGGCCTTGTTTAGATACAAAACTTGTATCAGTTTAATTTTTTAAAACATATCTATTTACTTAAACCACTGCAAACCTCTGTGTGGATACTCTTAAATCAATTTTCTGTTGCTTATATGTATTATAACTTAAATTGAGAAGGAATCAGCTTAAAACTATATTGACACAACCCAGGTGTAAACAGATTTAAAAGAGCCCATAGAGCCATTTGCATGAGTTTATCCAAATCGATTTAAGACATTTATTCTAGCTCAACTGACGCAACTTTAGTATGTATACAGAGCCTTTGCGTGTGACCCTGAGCCTTTAAACTCAGAAGAGTGATATAATACACATCGCTCTCACAGGGACATTGTGACATGCTTTGAAAACTTTTAAATGAAAGTTTCTCCAAAAGTGCAAATTATGAAAAAAATACAAAAACCGGGTGGGGAAGGGTTATTAAACAGCCACTTTTTTTTTTTTTTTTTATTATTTCTGGCCCTGTACTAGATGAGTGATTTTTATATTTTAAGTTGACGTTTAGATTCTAAAGGAGTTTCACCATTCTATTTACATCCCCACTCCTGAATCACAACAAATTAGGCTCATTTTTAACTCACACCAAGTTTATCCTCTCGGATATTAGCTACATTTCGGTAGGCTTTTTTGGTTTAGTTTTCAGGCACTTTTTTAAAGTCTCCATGGGCGTTTCAAGGACACATTTACAATTCTCATGCAAATTACCCCCCACCACCACCCCTCCGGTGTCCCTTCCAGTAGGGCAGAACCACCCCCCCCCGGCCAGTAGCGTGCCATCCCAGTATGGTTTCAGAGGAGCAGCCGTGTTAGTCTGTATCCGCAAAAAGAACAGGGGGACTTGGGGCACCTTCGAGACGAACCAGTTTATTTGAGCATGAGCTTTCGTGGGCTACAGCAGATGCGTCCGATGCAGTGAGCTGTCGCTCAGGAAAGCCTACGCTCGGATAACCTGGCCCGTCTCTAAGGGGCCACAAGTCCCCCTGTTCTTTGCCCCAGCGTGGGTAACTTCAGGTGCGCGAGGACAGGAACTCGAACCCCAGCTGCTACCGCGGCCCTGTGCTGCTGGGACTGGGGACCCTTTACCTGTGGGGCTGGGCGCGAACCGCACCCTCACCCCGGCTCCGCAGGGCACGCCCCCCGCCCGAGACGACACCCCGGCGCCCCGCCAGCGAGGCGCCCCGCGCAGAAGGGGCCCAGCCCCCCGCAGCGCAGGCGCCATCGAAGCGCCCGTTCCGGCACGGAGCTCCCCGCGCACGTGGGTGCGCCCAACTGCTTCCGGCTTTGCACAGCCAGCCAATCAACTTCGCCCCACACCACAGGGCGGGGCGTCCCTTAAAGGAGCCACGTCCCCTTTATCTTACGCCTCCGGTCCGGGCACGGTTGCCGGGCGCTTCGCTGTGTCTAAACGGGGGGGGGGGGGCGAGCTATAAGTCACTCCGCATTGGCCAAGCCTATCCCCACACCCCGAACAACAACAACTCCTCCTGGGTCCTCTCCGGGGCGGCCGGGGGTGGCACCTTCCCCGCAGCGCCAGCCACACCCGGGGGGTTCCCGGCAGGGGGTCCCCGCGCCACGGGCAGCTCCGCGCGGGGCCGGCGACCGGCGGGGCCCCGGGGCGGCGAGCTGGGATTGGCGCGGGGCCTGTCAGGCGCCCGGCTCGTCTCGGGGCGCCGCACCAGGCCGAGGGGAGCGGGCCCAGCCGGGCGAGGGGACGTGGCGGGACCGGGCTGGGGGGCAGCGAGCGCCGCGGGAGGGCTCCAGCCTCGCCTCCTCTGGTGGGGGAGGCGGGCTACGGGGGCCAGTAGGGGCCAATCCGGGGCCGGCGGGGGCGGGGTACGGGGCGCCGTGGGGGCCAATCCCGGCGCGCGGCGTTTCCCAGCACCCCCCGCGGGCGGATTGTACACAATCATCATGGCCGCGGCCTCTGCCTCCCCTGACGGTGAGAGCGGGTGGCCGCCGGGGCAGGGACCGTGCGGGGACGGGGCCTGGCGCCGGGGTCGGAGGGCTGCCCCGGAGCTGCCCTGGGAGGACAGGGCCCCGGGCGGCAGGGCGCGGCCCGGGCAGCCGGGACCCGGGACCCGGGCTCGGGGCGAGCCCTAGCAGCTGCCCCGCGCCGTGGGGGGGAGCCCGAGTCTCGCGGCAGCCGGCGGGTGGCGTGTCCCTCCCCCGGCAGCCGGGGCCCGGCTGCGGAGCGAAGCGGCTGGCCTGGTGCCGGGGCCTCCCGCCCGGAGGAGCACGGGGACGGGGGCGAGCGGAGCCGCCGGCGGGGGACCTCCGCAGCGTTAATCGCCCGACCTGCCTCTCCCGGGGCTTTCCGGGTCTGTTTGTTTCCTCAGACGCTGATGAGCCCGGCATGGACACAGAAGCTCAGAACCTGCAGCTTAGCTGTGGAGATGCTGGGGAAAGCCATGCCTCTGCTGCTGGAAAAGCCCTGGAAATGGACCCGCTGCAAGAGGATTCAGCCATTTCACAGGCCTCAGTCAGCAACGGCGGCGATTCCGAGACTGGGAAGGATCTAGTAGAATTAAAAATCATTTGGAACAAAAATAAATACGATGTGAAGTTCTTGCTTGACAGCACAGGGGCTGATCTGAAAGAGAAAATCCACTCACTCACAGGTAAAATGTTGAGCATGCAGAGGTAACTACTTGCCATATAAGCTTGTTTCTCTTCTGACCAAAAATATACTCATGGGGGTTTAAAATGCTCTTTAATTCTTGCCTGGTAGGCCTTCCACCCACTATGCAGAAAGTCATGTTTAAGGGACTTCTACCAGAGGAGAAAACGTTACGGGAAATCAAAGTAACAAATGGTGCAAAAATAATGGTGGTTGGTTCCACTATCAATGATGTGCTAGCAGTAAATACTCCCAAAGAGGCTGGTCAACAAGAGGTGAAAGCTGAAGAAAATAAAAAAGAGCCGCTTTGTAGACAAAAGGTAAGTGATGTCTCAATAACTGTTGGCATAGGACAAGGAAAGCGGGGCTAGTACAGTTCTTGTGTAACGTTGTGTTCTAACCCTTGGGTTCCATTCCACTATGAAGTAGACTATTTCTTACTTACAATCAGTATTACAAGAAGGGACCACCATAGATGAGTTCTAACCGGAAATATTGGTGCCTAGTCCAGTGGAAGCCATGGATTCGCAAGTTCAGTGCTGCACTGCTGGCTGATGGAGCTCAGCATCTCAGTAAGACAAATGTTAGCAGCAAGGATTCATGAGAGACAGGCTTCATATTCCATTTTTAGTCTCCTCTTTTAGGTCAGGTGAGCAAAAATTGGTGGCTGTTCAGTCACCAGTGTGAAACAACTTAATGATCTTAGTCCCATTTCTAGCAGTCTAGTTTCTATGTCTCCAAAACCATCTTCATAGTTGGTACCTAGTGGTCTCTTTTTTGGCAGCTTCATCAGCACAGAGAACACTGAACTCTCTCACATCTAAAAGTGTTTCCCCCCCCCCCCCAAAGAAAGTTCAGCTACAGTGTGAGAAAGCATGCTCTCATGGCTGTGCTGCATCTGTGGTAGGGCTAAATAAAGGGCTTTTAATTCTAGTTGTTTTCAGCCGCATATCTTTCATCAGCAACAAATTCCATTAAAAGTTAAGATCCCCTGTTGGTCTGCAATTCTTTTATGAAATATCCTTTTGTCTTTTTATAATCTATCATAGTTCGCATTTACTGTAAATTTCATCATTGTTCAAAGGTACTCAGCAAACTTGTCAGTTGCAAGCATGTTTTTCCTTATTAGTAGTGCTCTAATCTATTCTGGTTTTGTTGCTGTGTTACTTTATTAAATCTAGGGATTGTATTTCTGACAATCATTGAATATAACACCTGATTATTACAATTGTCTTACTAAGGGATAACTCCTCTGTGATATTAAACTGATCCCTGGCTTTTGCACACAATAGAAGACGTTTTCCTTTTTTGCATCTTCTTTGGGTTTTGATTCTCACAGTATTCTTTAGACAGTCATAAAAAAAATCCCTTTGGTTAACTTTTAAAACTAACCAGTTTCTGTATGATAAATGACTTTTACCATATTTAAAAAAAATGTTACATAGACCTATTGCACGGTATTTCAGGAAGTGGTCAGGAGTAAATTAAAAGCTTTGTGTCACGTTTCAGTAGTCTAACTTCTGGTTTTTGTTATAGCAACACAGAAAAGTATTGGATAAAGGAAAACCTGAAGACGTGATGCCTTCTGTTAAGGGTGTTCAGGTAAGTTAAATAACCACTTGGACCACTGTCCTGATCAGGAAATACACTACCAGCCCATTGTTCATGCTCCCTGAGACTTTTTCCAGATTTGTTTCCTCCTGCTATCTTAGTAGAATAACATAGATATCCCTTGTACTCTACAGCTTTTTCTTGTGCATTTTAAGTCTTGCATTTTCACTCTTCGTATTGTGTATTTTTAGGAACGCCTGCCAACAGTGCCCTTATCCGGCATGTACAACAAAACAGGGGGGAAAGTGAGGCTGACTTTTAAACTGGAGCAAGATCAGCTGTGGATAGGCACTAAAGGTAAGTGACTAAGACTATTACACAGCTAGTCAATACCTGGAGTATGTACAGACTAGACTTGTAGTCCCTTCTGACCTTAAAGTCTATCATGATTATCTAGTCTGACCTCCTGCACATTGCTGGTCACAGAACCTCGCCCGTCCACTGCTGTAATAGACCCATTACTCCGGCTGAGTTACGAAAGTCCTCATATCATGATTTAAAGACTTCAAGTTATGGAGAAGCCACCATTTACACTTGTTCAAATCTGCAAGTGATCCGTCCCCCATGCTGCAGAGGAAGGAGAAAAAACCCCAGGGTCTCTGCCAATTTGACCTGGGGGAAAATTCCTTCCTGACCCCAAATATGGCGATTAGTTAGTCCCTGAGCATGTGCGCAAGGCCCACCAGCCAGACACCTGGGAAAGAATTCTCTGTTGTAACTCGGAGCCTTCCTCATCTAGCATCACATCTCCATCTGTTGGAGATATTTGCTGCTAGCAATCACAGATCAGGTACATGGCATTGTGGGCAGTCCCATCATAAAGATCAGTTTCAGTCCAGAATAAACTTTATTAAAGGAATAGCTCCAGCTCTTTGTATATTAATCATTCAAAATCAAATAGAAAAGGAGTACTTGTGGCACCTTAGAGACTAACCAATTTATTTGAGCATGAGCTTTTGTGAGCTACAGCGCACTTCATCGGATCCGATGAAGTGAGCTGTAGCTCACGAAAGCTCATGCTCAAATAAATTGGTTCGTCTCTAAGGTGCCACAAGTCCTCCTTTTCTTTTTGCGAATACAGACTAACACGGCTGTTACTCTGAAACCTGTCAAAATCAAATGTTCACTCTGTTTCTTTCCCAGATAGGCTTTCTTCAGGCAGCTGAATATTACAAAATATTTTACGTATTTGTACTTGAAAAGCTTGAATTTATTTGTGTTACTATGCCATAAATAAGGTTAAGATTTTGTCATGGTTATTTTTAGTAAAAGTTGCCGGGGGGGGCAGCACCCACGGGGGCTCGGAGCTCCAGGGCCACCCGCAGCAGCTTGGCAGTCCAGGGCTGGCACCTGGGAGATCCACAACCTCTGTGACATAATCTTATTCTTAGCCATAACTCTCAATTGTGGATTATAATACTTAGCATTCATAACATTTCTTATTTTCAGAGCACTGCATAAGCA